TCCCTACTGAATGTGCTGGCTCAGGAAAATCTCTTTATAGCCGTGAAGCTGTGTTAACTTGGACTTCTGCACTGAAGAACTGTTGCTAATGATTCCCCATCCTGTCCTGAAGGAGTCCTTCTGGTGCAGAACAAGGGGAGTAGGACCTGAGCTAAAATGTGCTGCAGTTGGTAGAAGCCTTTAGACTCTATGGGCCTTGGACGTCTTTCCAAATTGCACCCACAGATCCTGGCATCTCTCAGCTTAGAGCTGCTGTCAGACCATACCTAAGATCTTGGACCTGAGCCCTCAGTAGTTCAGTCCTGCACTTTGGCTCTGCTTATCTTCAGGGGAATGGCATTTATGATACTTAGTGCTGTTAGATGTGTAAGTTCCTGAGCTGAAGTCCCACTGAGGTCAGTAGGACTTAACATCCATGGGATGTGCTTAGGAGCCTGTACTTGTATGTCTATTCTGAGCTGGGTCTCTTTCCCCAACACGGTGTCTCTTAACCACATGGCAGCTTCCAGCTTCAGTCAAAAAATCCTGCTCTGAAGGCAGCTCTGGCCAGCAAATAAAAGGGGGAAAAATATATATATGTGTGTGTGAATACACCCTGTTCATTTTCTGCACACTTTTTGATGTGACTTCAGAGGACCTTCCTTTTTTCATAACCAGGGCACTCATTTCAAGCTTTCTGCTGTCCTTCTGATCTGGGAGGGCTTGTTTGGCATTGTTATTTTCACTGCAGAAAACCAGCCGTAGCTGCCTTGGCTGCATGCTAAGTAATGACTTATAAAAATCAGTCGGTTTAGCAGGCATTCAGAGTGGATAACAATCCTAGTCATTCCAAAGGGAATGTCTGTTTGCTGTTTGGACCCTAATGTCTGTGGAAGATGACAGGGTATGACTTCATATGTAAACAAAGATGTTTCAATCTACCAAGGGATAGTACTTGCTTTATGGATGTGCTGGCCATTTGCACCAATATCCCATTTAATGACCCAAGTAGAGAACAAAGCATTCACTGAGCTAACATCCAGAACAGTGAGAAGGACACAGACCGAGACTGGACTTCATTTATTGTTGCTCAGCATCAGTGCAGCTTTAGTGAAGCAACTTCTCCCTTGCCTTAGTCTCAGCACAGGTCTGAGCCCAAAGGTTACGTTACCAGAACTCTGTAAAAAATGTGTTTTCTATCATCATGTGGACAAAAGAGGCTTTTAAGAGGTTGGTTTTAGGGCTGTGAAGCAGAAAAAATAGATTTGCAAATAAAAGGAAACTGGGTCTGACTGATTTCAATGACACCATCTGGAATCCAGAACATCTGCATTGGAGGGTCAGTTATGGTGAAGTCATGACACTCACATAATTTCTGACCAGTGCCCCAGACCGCAGCCCTGTATCCCACCCACGGCCACCTTCTGGGGGCTTCTGGAAGAGGCGCTTTCATTGCGGTCACTGAACAAAGCAACTTGAGTAGGCATCAGGGTTATCGGGTCTAGCCTCCCTTCTACATTATTTGTATTAACAAGCTTGTTAAGTACAAGGTGAGGGAAGGACACCCCATGTCTGCAGCACAAGGCAAGATAAAATTGAGGAGTTTCTCTAAAAGCTTTTTTCAGCAAGAAAAAAAACCATCAACTTGTCTGACAGTGAATGCAATTTGTTTCTTTCAGACTCTGGAAACAATGGACACAGGCAAACCTTTTCTGCAGGCTTATTTCATTGACCTGGAAGGTTGTATAAAAACACTCCGATATTATGCTGGATGGGCTGATAAAATTCAGGGCAGAACTATCCCAGTGGGTAAGTTCTTTCAGACCCAGTTTCAGAGCTGAGATGGGATCAGGGAGGGAGGCCTGCTGGGAGGGACATGCATGGAAAGGTTGGCTTCTGAAAACCTGCAAAAATAGCCTTGCGTTTCCTTTCTATCTCAGGATGTATTTCAAGTAGATGTGTTTCAAGATTTAGACTAACGGGAAAAAAATGTGAATGCCTGGATAGATATCTGGAAAATAATGCATGAGCTCTTTTGTTGCTTTTTTAACAGAGAAACCTTTTTGGTTGTAGATTCAGACTAATTCTTAACACACACCCCACGCATTATAGGGGAGTTTATTCATTAGGTATCACTGAAATGAATTAAGATGCTAGAGAGTGGAAGGACAGAGGTTTCTAGGGAGAACTGTGTGAAGGCAGCAGAGCTTGTGCTGTCCTAGATGCCCCAGGGATGAGGCAGAGGGTTGATGTGGAATCTACCAGTGCCTCCTACCTCACTGATGTTCTTGCATCCCTGACAGTGCTGGCTCACAGATGTTTAGAGAGATCACGTAGTGTGTTTTCTTAACTTTTATTGAAGAGAGGGTCTGAGAGGCTGAGAGTCTTCTCTCAGGAGCCAAAGCACTGAGCTCTTGGAGAGACCCTGTCAAGTTTTCTGACACTTGAAAGAGGTTTTTCAAAATGTTTCCTTGGCTGCGGGGCCAGAGTAGTCACACTGCACTGTTGTGGCAGGGACAGAGAGAACAGTTTGGCTCAGCTACATACGTTCAAATATGGTTTTGGGGAGAACAAGTCAAGACAATGGATGTCCATGGGGCACGATGAGTAATATGGTATATTTTCAAAATCAGCCTGTTTTGTCCTTGCACTGAGTGATCACTGAGGCTGTATGAAGGACAGGCACTGCAGACAAAAATTAGTCACCAGAGGAAGGGCTCTGAAGGGCTGAACTAGTTCAGTCTGTGCAAGCAGCAAAGGGAGCGATGTCAGTCATATAAACTGAGATCTGTCGCCCCCATTCAGAGTAATGTGAAGCTTTGCTTGTCTGGACACTGCTTGTTGGTCCTCATTTGAGATCACTTCCAAAAACTGTAATTAGAAGTGTTCGTGTTTTCTGTCAGATCTTCCCAATGAAACTAGATTTCCGGCAAGAATGAATTTGTAAGAAAAATGTCCTTCCTGCTTACTCTTTGAAAGAGTAATAGCAGTATTTTGAGATGAATGGTATTGCTTTACTCCCAGAGTTTCATCTTTTTGTGATTTCTTGCCAGAAGTGCAATTCCTGTTACATTGATTATGATTCCCATACAAAATGGGTTTAAAGACTCTCCGCCTCAGGGAAACAAGTGCTTTGCTTCTTTCAGTGAGACACAATCTGAATGCAATTTGTGCTTCAGTGTGGTAGGGAATTATCCTCCACCTTAGCCTCAACACAGGGAGACTGCAAAAGGAATTGAACCCCTGGTTTTAAACAGCTCCGCTGCAAACATGAGCAGTGTTTGGCTTTTGAGCTAATACAAGACCTATTCTCAAACAGATTTTAATCTGCCTGGAGTGTCCCAGAGGCATGAGTTAAGATGAACAGATAGCGGGTTCTTCGTCTAATACGGTTTTAGTTGTGTCCCCAACCTGTTAGTGTGCAGTTGTCTTACACTCTTGCTGTAGAAGCAAGGATTTTGACTGTTTTGTCTTCCTTTATTCTTTTGTCTTGCAGATGAAAATTTTGTCTGTTTCACCAGGCACGAACCGATGGGTGTCTGTGGAGCTATAACTCCAGTAAGTAGCAGCGATGGTACCCTGTATCTCCCGTAGAACTGGAAGAAGTACATGTGCACTCCCCATCCTATACTGCAGCCATTTGCTTCCTAGTTAAGTACAGCTGTTCTGTAGGGAACTCCCATCTCAGTTGCCTGATTAGTTTCTTCTTTTACCCCCATGCCAATTGCTCTTGGCAACACAAAGTCCTCTGCAATGGAAGGGTGGGTCTCCTAATCAGATGCTCTGTTCCTCTCTAAGGATGACACCAGTCACCAGAGACCAGTCAGAGCTCTCTGACTCTTGCACTGCTGGGACAACCATCTTGTCATTACATGTGCTAGCTTTTTGCTGCCTAGTGCTGATGCATAGTTTTGAGTTTTATATCATATCCATTATTAATAGCCCCTGGCTGCTCTCTGAGTTTTCGGTGATTAAATCTCACTGAATAAAGCTTTCTTCTCCTTGAGGTCTCATTCTCTGCTGAGGGGACAGTGTGGCTAGTTCTTGGAATGCCTCCACTTTTAGTGTGTGTTGCTTGCTCTGTTTAAACAGACAGCCAGGAAGACTTTACAGCTACATGGGAAAGACATGGTTTGTTCCTGTTTGGTTGTAAAATGCTTTGAACATGGTATCCTACAAGCCATGAAGCAAATGGTGATGTGCCAAGATTCTCTGTTTGGATACTTGAATCAGTAAGAGTCCATGTAAGATTTTGACCTTTGGGCTAAGGTTATAGGAGAGACTGAAAGAAATGCATGTGGGGTATTGGATTTGCTGGACTCTGGGAATACCAGGTCTGGACCAGTTCCCAAAGATATCTGGGGAAATTTTGTTTTTTTCTTCAGCAGGCCTGAGCTTATATCCCCGATAATAAGACAGTACTGTCTATTTAGCAATATCAGGGTGAGGCAAAGTGGGAGATGGTCTGTACCAGTTACCAGATGTTCAGCTTAATAACTTCTGCGCAGCTTTTCTGGCTGAACAAGCAATGCAACTTCTTGTGAGCAACTAGAATTTGTGACTCAAGATCAAAACATCAGGTTCCTCACATTGATCACCAATTAAATGGTATCTCCTGGTCACACTTCAGCCACTTTTGGTACTTAACAATTCTTTTGGAAACTATCCCTTTGAAAGCTTACATGTAGGATGCTTTGGAGGGCCACTACAAGGGGACATAATGGGACTTCTAATATTTCAAGTTAACCCTACATCAGCAATAAATACAATAGAAAGTACAGAAACAATTTTGACTGAAGTTCAACACTGTGTTTGTGAAAAGGATGATTGAGGTCAACAAAACCACATCTGTCTCCAGTTTACTTAGAACAAATCCCCTTAGATTTTTTTTCCAGTTTGATCTCTAACACCAACAGTCTGTGGGTTTGTATATTCCTACTTGATTTAAAGAGATTCTGTCACTATTCTGCATATACCTTCCTAGACCAATTAACAATCCTCCCTTTTTACTGTGGCTTGACTATGTTTAAACCAATGTTCTCAGCAAGGCAAGTTCTGAAAAAGTGCAGCATATGACTGAGCTTTATCCCACACTGATGTCATGAGGCAGCCCTGGAGTCCTTTATTGTTACTTTCACCAGCCATTCTGCAATGGAAAGCTCCTAATGGAGTTATGTCATGCTCTGAAAGTGTAGAAAAGTAGTGTAAATGTGGATGGCTCAAGCTGCAAAGTCAGGCCTTCAGGAAGGCTTAGGAGAAAAAGACAAATGGGCAAATCATGGGTTGTGGCCATTGGAGAAGATCAATGAAACAAAACAGGTCTGGGAAAGAGACAGAGTCAAGTTGAAGAATAGCACATTAGACTAAATTCTGCTTTGTCTCATTGCTGCTGGGTCAGAACAGAACTCATCTCTTAAAAGCTACCCTGCTAATTTATTTATAAGTGTGAATTTGTGAATTCCTAACATATTTGGCTTCTTTGTTGATAGCTGAAGGCCTTTGGCTTGAGGCTTGACAAGAAGTCCCCTTACTGTTGGCCTGCTTCCATCATCCCTAAAGCAGCATTAATTATTTTTAATGAAGAAATCCTTTCTGCTGCCAAATGACCTTTCTCAGATTCAGTGTGAGCTAGATTTTCCACTTCTTGCTTAGGCTCCAAGATCTACAAATACGTATGACCATGAAAGAGATTAGCATGGAGGAAACTGATGTGGACTGGTTCCTAATTCCAAATAAGAAAACTAATTGGAAAGAAGCAATTTACAATTTGAAAGGAGTATAAGACCTCCCCTGGATTTCCGTGACTGAACAGCCCAGTGCAGTTTCCTAGTTATAAACCTGGAATTGAATGACATTGTATAACTCCTAACTACTCAGCCAATACCTAACACAGAAAAATGAGGGTTTTTCAACGAGTAGTTGCACCCTGTAATTCCCCCATGTTAGGACACTGTACAAAAGTGATGCAACAGGACACTGCCTCCAACACAATTTCTGTGGACAGCCAAAATCCTATACGAAGTGTGATCTGACCAGCCTTGTGTTCTTACAGTGGAACTTCCCGTTGCTAATGCTCATTTGGAAGATGGCACCAGCACTGTGCTGTGGAAACACTTTAGTTATTAAGCCAGCTGAACAAACTCCTCTCACATCGCTGTACATTGGCTCGCTGATCAAGGAGGTAAGGAAATCTGAGCATCCTATCTAGGTACTGTTCTTTTAAGGTCATAAGCAAGCCTATATCTTGAGTTGGCTATGTAGGTTTTTAGGTTTTAAAGATGTTAAAGCCTTACAGAGAAAAGTGAGAAAAACCTCTGTCTTCAGTCTTTTCTTACTAAGGCCTTCATGACTGGCAGTGGCTAGCTGGGAGGTAGCAAAGATCACAAAACCTGTAGGTTTTCCTTCTTTCTCAGGAAGCTGCAGAGAGAAAAAGTGGTGCTTCTGTCCCTCTCCCAAATGAGGGGAAGACTACAGCTCAGTTTTATTAGACAGTGGGACAAAAAAGCACGATTAGACAGCAATGTTGAGTTTGTACCATTTTTAAGTGGGATAGTTCAACCAAGACAGAGTGCCATGGGAAAAAATTCTTCATAATTTCTGCCATTCATAGAACAATTTAGCTATGTCTGGCCTTTAAAGCCAACTCGATACTGACATAAAGGGAAGATCATAGGTTGGGATTTCAAAATGTTGCTTTAGGGCTTGTCAAGTAGGACCTCAGGTGGCCTCAGATCTATTAATCATACAGAGGTGGTGGGAGGTGCCCAGTACCCTCCAGGGCTGGTCAGTACATCAGCTTCCTATATTTACAAATGTGACTAATTGTGAGGAAAACTAGAAGGGTTGTAAATACGCTTTTGCCTCTCAGCTGGAGAAGTCTGTTTGTTAAGTTCAGTCTAAGTATAATGATGATTTTTTTCAGTTCTTGGCTTAGGATGGGAGAAAATAGAAGGGTACCTTAATAATTGATGCTTAGGGCTCCTCTGCCAGGAAAGGCAGTACAAAAATACTACCAGTTAAGTATCTCCTGCAGTTAATCGACTTAATAAGATTACACAAGATGAGCGAGCATAGGGTGCAGTTTTCATGACTTCTAGTTAGCCCTGCCACACCATTGCTTCTTTCACTCTAACATACAGCTCTGTAGCTCCCCGAACACAGGCGTAGCATTCCTCCAAAAAAGCCACTCAATTGTGCTGAAATTAATTTTTTTTAGCTGAAATTCTAAGCTGCCTGTTTCTCACAGTTGCCCTTCAAGGCAGAAGTGTAATTAGAGCAAAATAATTTTATTCGAAAATGCTCTTTTCTCCACCCAAAATTAGCTAAATTCTTTGCCGTTTTTCAGAAGAGTAAGTTAAACTTTTAATTTTTTTTTCATCTTTAAAAGGATGCAGAAGATGTTAACGTACAAGCAAAGCTATGTGTTAGGTTCAATAAAATAATTTTGGGCCAACCAAAATATTTTGGCTTTCATTTTTGCTGAAAAACAGAAAAAAACTTTTTGGCTCAGGGTGACCTAAACCAATTTTTTGCTTCCTTGTGGCTTTGCTGCTGACTCCAAACACCATTACTTGCACAGTTTGACATGCAGTATTTTCTTGAAAACTCATTAGCCAAGTTGCGAACTCTATTAAACTCACTTTAATCATTGTCACATCCATAGAAGAAATCTGACTGCCCTTCCGATTTATAAAAAAAAAACCAAACCAAAAAACTTACGAAGATAATTTTTTCCAAGGTAGTACATGAGCAATTACTTCCATTTTTTTCTGTATTAGGGAAGAGCAACTGCATTTCTTGAGATTTTATATTAAAAATCCATGAGAAATTAAGTGAACACTTAATATCCTGCAATTCCATTGTTATAAAATGCAGGGAAAACAACCTTGTGCAATCAGTAGAAGGGGAGGGCTGGCTTAGAAGAGCATAATCCTTGAAACTCTCGTTCAGGAAGTAAAAACAGACCAGTAACTCCCGCACTTCTTGCACTAGAATTTCACCTAAAGTTTTGCCATTTGTCTCTTTTGGCAAAATTGCTAGTTGGCTAATCTAGATTGTAAATGTGGTGGAAACTGGCATAAGTCTGTTACCATCTGCTCTTGTATTCCTGTTTTATTAGCCCCATCATCTAGTGGGTTTTACTGACTTCTTAATCCCTCTGGCCCCTGAAGAACCACAAATGTCAACCTTTGTTCAAAACAAACTTTCATTCAGTTACCCCTTGGCTCCAGCTGCACAGCAGTAGCTGGGGGCCAAGTTTGGCCAAAAGACTCACGCTCTTTTGACTTGAAACTGGGACTCCTCCAAGAATTCTTACTGAAACTTGGCATTTTCTAAGCATGGCTGTTACTTTCACCCATGTCTACTCCAGCTGGTAGCACACAGCCATGTTACTGGAAAGTCTGGAAAACAGTGATGTATCTGGTATGGGCTCCTTGTCTAATGGAAAGTCTGGAAAACAGTGATGTATCTGGTATGGGCTCCTTGTCTACAACTTGCAATTTTGAATTGCAAGGAATATAGTGCAACTAATTCAAGCTTCCTGAGAACTGAACTGCAGCTCTCAGGAGTGCAGATCAGCTCCAGAGTGCTGAAAATCTCTCTTTACAGAGCTGTATTTAACCTCTGTTTTAGGTGGGTTTCCCTCCAGGTGTGGTGAACATTGTGCCAGGCTATGGCCCCACAGCTGGAGCTGCTATTTCTACTCATCACAGCATTGATAAAATTGCTTTTACTGGATCAACAAAGGTAGGTGATGGATTTCTCATAAAACACCCACTGTTCCTCTTTGCATTCTCTTCTAAAACTCCCATCCACGTAAGACTGAGACAATGAAATGTCGATGATTTCTGTATTGCCAACACCATTTTCCATCACATTCCATGTGACAGGATTCCTCAGAAGCATTTGAGATTTGTCTAATTCAGGTCCTTGTGCTCGTGATAATCCCACATCTCTGTAAAGTGGGTTTTGCCAAACTGCCACATTTCTGTAAGAACTGTAAGTAATAGATGCTCTAACATGAGGTAAGACAGTCTAGAGGAGAGGCTGGCAGTGACTTAACATCATGTCATTGACCTGACGGAGCTTCTGGGCAAGTTTGCCTACCAGTCCTGCCCTGCAAGCATGTGCAACTGGAAAACATGTCAGTCAGAGCCCTGAACAATTCTTCCTTGGCTGTAGTTACATCTGAGGAACTAGGATTTAAATAAAAACACAGCCCTGTGCCTGAGGCTTCCTCTGCTGATGTGGATGGGATTAATATTTGAGCTTCTTTTGACACCTGCACAGTAAAGCACCTCCTATTCAGTTGTTTTCATGTAAATAGCTACGGCTCCCTTGCTTAGGAAAGGGGTGGAAGTGAGACCTCTGCACTATCAGACACCTACAGCTGTCCTCTTCTGTACCTACACGGGGGAAAGGAGTGCATAGCTTGGTCTAGGAATTGAACGCAGATGTGGCGTGCAAACAAATCTGTCCCTAGTAATCACTGCTGCAAATTCTGAAACAAAAGCTTGCTTAGAAATGTGAATGATTTTCCACTTCCTGCTCTAGATTTTTCTTGCAATATATACAAGCCCCTGGAAGAGGGGCAGGGTCCAAAGAATGGAAATGTTGACACCAGTGGGTGCAGTTGAGGCAAATACACTTTCTTCTTTTTTATTTCCTTTGGTAACGTTATCCTTACTGAGCATTTGCCGAATTCATCCATTCTTATGTCCATCCGGACAATTGCAGAGTGTAATCTAATTGCATAATGATGACAAATTACCTTGAATGGTATTCTTGGTCGGTAAAGGTAACTCCTTAAACACTCAAAAGCTGCTGCATTTAACAACAGTACCATCTAGTGGCTTTGTGTACATGCTAACTGCTTCGCTTATCCCATAGGAGAAGGTGTGTTAAGCCTCTGTTTCTGTGTAGGGATCATGGGAACAAACACAAATGCAATAAAGTAAAAGTTCACAATGAGATTTTACTCTCTTGATAGTTGGTCTAATCTAGGAGTTTACCCAGATACATGCTTCTCTCCAAAACCTAGATCAGAAACTTTTAGCCCAGATTAGACGCTGGCTGTGAGAGAATAATAGAGCTTATAGACTCATCCAGCCCACATGGGTCTGTTTGGGTTTTTAATGAAAAAGGAGTATCCAGTGGATTAGGGGCAGAAGGAAAACCTCAGCTGCTGGAGCCTGTAGGCAAAAAACTCCTATAGATGCTGTGCTTGTCTTCCTAATCCATGGGTGTGCAGGAAACACCGAGGGAGACAGATTCTTTGCTAATGCATGTGTAATTTAGAAGTGTTTTCTTCCCCCTCCACCCATCTGTGAGTTCAGCTGCATCTCTGCGGTATTTGCAGCATAATGCTACTGTTTCTGAGCCAGGAAGTGAAGCTAATTCAAAATACATTTTGACTTAGTTTTTAAGCCCCAGCTTGGGCTCGGTGCCAGCCTGGAAATACTGTTCTTAAACTCCATGAGAATTTTCCCATCTAGATTTCTTCCTTTCCCTTAGTTGATTAACTTATACCTCTTCAGCCAGCTAGCTCATAGTAATGCTTCTGGCGAAGCTATCTGTATCTGCAGCAGGATGCATCAGTTATTTCTGCTGTCTCTAGGACTAAGCTGCTGAGTGACTAGAGATGATCTGCACTGCTAGGTTCAGGAGTCTTGGTTGAGTTACAAAGGCAAACCATGAGAAATGCAGACCTAAAACTGCCAGCCAGCTGCCCCATGCTTTCCTTGCTCACAGCTCCACTCCAGGGCAACAGTATTTTCGGGCAGAAATGAAGTTAAGATTGCCTTGTGCAAAGGTAAGACACAAGAAAACCAGTTAAAAGATAAGGAAACTCAAATATAAGGTCACATTTAAGAAAATAACCTGCCTTAACAATTGAAGCTCCCAAATAGTTTTAACTCATACAGTTTCTAACGAAATTAGATTACTAAATGGTTCTGATGCTTGATTTATGCTCTTCTTGTGAGGAATTCCATTTTTTAAAGCAGAAAGATAAATTACTGTTTTGGTGCTACCAGTGTAAAAAAGAAATGGCATAGTCAGTCAGAATTTGGGGAAAACATTTGATATGAAACAATTTTTCTGTGGAGGGAAAAAACCCCTTAGTTTGACATGACATTACTTCGATTAAATTCTGGAAGCAGAGTAAATCCTTCCCTTCGGGAGAGAGTGGCCAGATAAATTCCTCCAGATGGTCAGAGCAGGTTCCTGGGCAGAAGGTGCCACGGCAGAGCTCGATGGAGTTTGTCTTGACATGCTCAGGTATTGCCTTGGAGGGAACATGTCTCAGCTACTTTTGCGTGTGGAGCAGCCCAGCCTAAACTGTCAGAAAGAAGTAGTTTTCTCCTAAATGTCAAAATCTCTACATGGCTTTCTGGTATGGGAGTTGTAACAGATAGGAAAAGTGAGTTCCTACCATTGCCTTGGCAAGATCAATTCTAAGAAGTTGAATTCCCTATTTTTAAAACTCATAAACCTTGAAGCCCCATTGATCGTCAGTGTTGCTCACTAGCTTGCACTGGGTGGGAGATGCCTTGTCCTGCAGCTCCGGGCAGCAGATAACTTCAGGGTGCAGTTCCTGTAGCTCTCCCATAGCCCACCCTTTTACATTTCCTAGAACAGACATTAATTCTGGGGCTGGTTTTGACGCAACACATCGCAGCAATAGGAAACTCAGACCATCTAAGAATGTTATCCCTGACTTCTTACCTACTTCAGCCACCCACCAGGCTCTTCTACCTGTGTTAGCATCACATTTGACGTGCTGAGTTAAGACTTTCAGGTGAAACAGCTCATGTCCTCTTTGTGTCTCAATGCTACAGGTTGGAAAACTGATCAAGGAAGCTGCTTCTAAAAGCAACCTCAAAAGGGTGACATTAGAGCTTGGAGGGAAAAACCCCTGCATTGTGTGTGCAGATGCAGACTGTAAGTATTGGCTGCTGTGTTAATTTGCTGTAAGACACTGTGAGTGTGGTGCTTTTGTGTGCCTCTGCTGTCCTTTGGCAGCTGGCAGGGCTGGTGTTTGCCACTGCATCCCCCCCAAAGGCTAGAAGAAACCCCTGTCCAAGGGCAGGATGCAGTTCTGCTTCGCTGGAGCTCTTACCCAGCACAGGGACCGTTCTGGTGGCAAATGAACAGATTGTTATACTGTTGCCTTCCCTGGGGATGGCTGAAGTTGCAGATAAATCTTGCATTTGTGCATTTCTGCTGTTGTGGTGCCTTCTTTTTGGTTGGCAGTACTGCAGAGCCTGAGCCAAGCAGCGGGGAAAGCAGTTTTCTAAAATGCAGCCCCTCTGCAGGCATTCCTATGATAGGAGAGTTTTGTAGGACCTGATCTAATCCAGCCTTCACCTCTGTCCTGGGGGTCTGTAGGACTCGTTTTTCGTGTTCTGTTGTGATTTTGTTACATTAGTGAGTTATGTGTAACCTGTGACCACCAAAGTGGTTGGAAAATCCTATTTGGCTTGGGGAAAATACTCCTCGCTCTCTTTCACGGCCCAGCAGAGGTTGAAAGCCAAAGGTATTTGTGCCATCTGCTAACAGTGAGCGTTGCGAGGACCTGGTCTGAGCTGGCTGTGCAACAGAAGGGCACTCTGCTTTCTAAACAATCGCTGCTGAAACTAGTCTTCCAGAACCAATGCACGGTGTCTGGGAATCCACATCTGAATTCCCACAGCGAGAAAAACTGGTTGCTGCCCTCAGTGAGTCCTTGTGGAAGAAAGTATCAGGGGCTATGGCTAGACCTTGAGACAAAAGGCAGGAAGGGGGGTTGAAATAATAAGAGACTAATCTGGTTTGGGGGCAGTATGAGGTCTTGCGTGTGCCTTCAATGGGTGTGGACCACTGTCAGCATTTTTTAAGGAGGCTTTCAAAAGAGAAAGGAAAAAAACAAGTCTGGAAACACTGGAAGGCTGAAACTATGCATGTGGTAACGCTTTTCCCTCGTGGGCCATGTTGCAGTGGACTTGGCAGTGGAATGTGCCCATCAAGGCGTGTTCTTCAATCAAGGGCAGTGCTGCACGGCTGCCTCGCGAGTGTTTGTGGAGGAGCAGATCTATCCAGAGTTTGTCAAGCGCAGCGTGGAGTATGCCAAGAAGCGACTCGTCGGAGACCCCTTTGATGCCAGAACTGAACAAGGGCCCCAGGTAACTGTGTGCCTGAGAACATTTGTTGTTTGGTTTTTGGTTGTGTTTTTGTTTAATTTTCCTTGTGTAAATATTACCCTTGCGAATATGGTCCCAGCAGAAGCGCCGAGGGGTGAGTAATGTATCATGGCTTTATTTTTCTCTCTATTTTAAATACCAATTAATCACAACTGTTGAAATGTTATGTTGTAATTTTTTTAAACACAAATGTATTTAATTCACTTCTTATCCAGCTTTATGGAAAGGGCTGTCTCCCTGGTACAGTAATACAAAGCATGTTGCAGCGAGCAATAGCAATGCACAGAAGAGCGCAGCTGCAGAAATGGCCGTTCAGCTACTTGGCTGTGTTGGTGATGACAAGTAGTTAGAGCCCAGGGACTCCCGAGTCCCCACTTTCCCTCTCCTCCTTTGCCCCCTTTCTGATCCTTTGGAGAAGTTTCAGCTGAATTAGGAGGAAGAACCATGCCAAGCTGCTGTCATGACCAGCCTCGTCAATGCTTCCAGAGCCTTCCTCTTATTTTTATCTTATGAAGCAAGCTGAGCTGTGGTGGAGAGCTCTGGAGGAAGATGATCCTTGAGCCAGATCTTTTAACAGGGCCACTGTTTGCTACCAAAACCAAAGGGGGAATCCCAGAAATCTGTAGCCTAGCCTTCCTGTTCTCAGTACTGCACAGTGAGTTTTTCTTCCTTGATGCTATATAGGATCCCTCAGAGAAGGGATGACTGTGGGGACATCTGCCTCCCCTTGTCTGGATCCAGGCCCATTTACACATGGTCCATGCGTGGTAAAACCTCATTGCATGTCCTCGTGCATGGGGAATAAGATGATGTACATCCCCTGGTCATGCTGGGATTGCATCTGTCCCTCTAACTTGCCTAGAAAGAGTTTTCAAACTGCTCAGCGATCTTAGGAAAATAATCCCATGCTGGAACTTAGTTCAGCAGAGATGAGCTGACTCTCAAACCGTTTCAGGGTCTGCTCTTACCTCTTGTTAAGGGCTCTCAGCTTTTCAGGTTTGTTTGGTTTAATATAATATCATCGTAAACCTTATCCAGCAGTTGCAGTAAGTGAGCTGCATTTATAGTTACTCCCGTCAGGACCATGCTCACCTGGCTGCTCTTACAGAGACCATTGATTTCATGAGAACAGCCCCTGAAATCACAGGGAGTAGTTGAGAGGTTTTAAAGGGTGAAACACTGCAGTGAGCAGAATATGTAGAACTGGCCTGCTTATTTTAGTCCATCCATGCTCCCAGCTCTTGCTAGGCTGTCAGAGCACTTCCCAGTAAGCACTATGGCAGAGCACCATGTTCTGGTATCGCTGCTGTGGTTTAAGGGAGACTCTTTGCATACAGAGCTATAATTAAGGGTAACAGTAAGGCAGAATAGCAGCGTCCAGTCATATTTTAAATACGGCCCATCTGTCCTCTTTTTTTTTTTGCTTACCTGTTAAACTTGTAGCTAGGAGAGACAGCACCCCCCCCACACACACCTGAACTTCTCTGCATGCAACTGTCAAGCCCAAGATGCGAAAGTGTTGAGAGAGTGGGAGGAAACTGTTAATCCCAAAGCTTTCATGTGGCTGCCAGTGCAAAGGAATAACCACTTCCTCTGCAGCTATGGTTGCTCCCTCTCTGGAGCCTATGCTGTAAAATGCAACACGCAGAAATTCAAGCAGAAGACAGAAATGATGCAGTGTCGCAAAGGCTAAAAATACCTCCAAAAGTAGCAAAGATTCACACCTGCCCATAAGTTACTGTTCAAATGTGAAGCTTCCAGATCAAATTTTTCCCCTGTTCCTGAAGTAACCTGTTCTGCCGTGAGGTTTTTTTTATCTTGAACTGATGGGTAAGGGAAGACTCACCACGAAAAATAATCTTTCTTCCCCTTCTTCTTCATCTCTCCCCATCAGGCCTTAGTTGCTTCAGATCCAGGTTGTTGCTTTCATTCTCCTTCTGTGTGGGTCAAGGTGAACATACACAACAGCATTAGAAAAACGGCCACATGCTGCTGTGTAGACCCCATTCTGGGATGATCGCTGGCTTAGAAGCCAACAGTAGCTGACAGTAGCTCCTTAGTTGGAGCCAACCTTTAGGCTGACAGTGGTTGTAGTCCATGATTTTTGGTCCTACATCAGCTGCAATTGCTGGTAGCCAGACAACAGGACCTGTAACTTAGAGAGAGTTCAGAGAGTCTAAAATAGGAGAGTGTCTGCAGTCCAGACTTTGAGCTAGCACTCGGTGAAACCAAGCCACACCATGGCTGAGCATAGTGCTCTAAGTAGCTGCTGAGACAACCTGGTGCAGGACAGCATGGAGTGACAGGCAGTACTGTTCCACAAGGACTTAAAGTTGATGTAAGGTAGTCCTGGAAACATGGTTCTGTCTGCAGCTGTTTGTTCCTATATTGCACTGCACTTATGAACTAGATTGGGGAACTGGGTCATTCAGGTCTAATCCAGCTTTTTTGGAAGTGAAGAAGAAAGGTTTTACTCAGGTCAGTTCCCTGGTGTGGATTACTGTGCGCTGGCATGGATGCTCATGGCATGGGTGTGGGGAAAAGACTGTGTCAGCTGCAGTATTGGGTTATGCTGATACAAACTGCACTGCTCTGATCAAAATTAGGTCAAATTTAAACAGAAATGAGGCATGCTTCTGATGAGACTTCACCAAAACTCACATGTGTCTGACTGTGTTGGCTGGCTGGAATTCAAAGGACACCACAAGAAACCTGAGGGGTGATCAGGACTGTTTGAGCAGAGTGCCAACCTCAAAGGCAGACCAAGGGCATTTTTGAACTTTAGATTCCTGTGAGCTGTTTCATAGGAAGCAATAAAGTAAATCTGCACAGATGGCAAACTGGTTAACCAGTGCATTATACAATTGCGAACAGCAGACTGCATTAGATGAGACTAACGTCCTGGTGGACTAGAACAGGGATTAGATTAGAACAAGACTCGACTAGTTTTGTTACTGTATAACCCCAAATACTGGGATTTGTGGACTACAAATCCTGATCTACAGAAAGGAAATAAGCACTAAGGCTGCCTCGTGGCACTCGCTAGCCAGAAGTTTTTCAGCCCCAAACCTATTGTTTGATATTTAAGGTGATGAATATTTTCCTTAGACCGTAGACATTTGTGTACTTTAGAATTAAAGCATGAAAGTAAAATATGTAAGTAGAAAGAGTATATGTCCAACAGTCAGTTGGACACAGTTGCGGGGTTCTTCTGTAGGATTACAAATGCTAGGTTTGGAAAAGGAAAAACTGCTCCTTGCAGTCTTGACTTAAATGAAGCAAGATACAAAAATTTGGGAGTTCTCAGATTTCCAGCATTGCAGTGATCCTTAGAAGTCTTTCTCTCTCTTGAATTAGTTGGACAAATAGTAGAATTTGCTCTAGTAAATCACGTGTTTTTAACAGAAGTCAATGCTTGAACCATAAATAATAGTGGAGTAGGGGACATAATTTAAACAAGCCTTGCAAGCTCTAGTTACAATGACAAACAGTTCCACCCTTGCATGTCATTTTTACAAATGTTTTCTTTCCCCAGTGTCTTTTCATCTAACTATAGTTTGCCTTGCAACAAGTTACAGCTGTATAAATATCCTTGTTTTGTTTTCTGTGATGTGAAGTGGATGAACTGGATTGGTCTGGATCACAGACATGCCAGGATGGAAAGCACTTGCAGATATTTTCAAATTATTTACATTTGGCAACTAAGCAACCAGACAAACAGACAATATGTATGACACCTGCCAAACTCACTATGTGACACTCTGTGTCCTACACGAGGGCACCCATTTCCTTGTGCAGTAGCATGTATCAAATGTTTTCTTGGGTAGCATCTTAACAGATGAGAGAACATGAGCACTTAGTACAAGCTGTCCACAGCGTATGCGATACACACATCTGTGTGGCAGGAGATGTGCTGTTCTCTGTGTACCAGAAGTACCCCAAGGGCACCCTCCTGAAGCTTTGATATTTATCTAAAAGCATGAAAACTTAGATTGCGTGTGGCCAGGATTAACTAGGGACAGGATATAGTCTGTAATCTGGAGGAGGCAAGTGTGGAACACTCCATGTAAGCAGTCCCAGTTGGCAACTGGCCCTGCTGAAATAAAACCAGATGCCTAGGGAGGGGTATTGAACCAGTACAAGCATCTGGAGATACCTGGCGTTCAGAATAGCCTCCTAGGCTGCCAGGGCATCTTGAACCAGTGGGTGGAGTCTTTTATTTAATCACCTCAATTTTTAAAATGTCTCCGTAAGTCTTTTACCATCTGCAACGTGCTGCGGAGGTGTTTCATTGCTTAATTATATATCACGTGAATAGCCACATCTGTTTGTTCGAAACCAGACAATACCTGCAGTACACTGCTGCATGTGGAGCACAAAAGAAGGACCAGTACTGATCAGAAGTGCTGTGGTCTTCTGCACCTCATCCCAGCACATCACCCGCTGTGCTTGTGGAGTACGTGGTGTCTCCTCCAAGTCTTGGTGCAGGGCTGCACAGCTGTGTGACTTCAGTGTCCTGTAACTGGGCTGGCCTTTCCCCATCTCTACTGAAACCCCTAGTTTAAAGGCTAGCAACACAACAGGACTCGCTGTTTGAGATTACTGCATAGTTAGGTGTGGGTGGGGAGGAGTTAGATGAGGTTGGTAGTGAAAAGTGAGGATATGGCTCCTAGTCCAGAGAACCAAAAAATGCTGGGATGGTACTAGTCTCTAAGATCTGTGAAAGGTGATTCTGATTTTAGATGTATGGCTTCAGTGCTGTAGTTGTTCTGAAGTCACCCCACTAATAGGGCTTATCTTTGACGCTGTTTGTGTAGCATGCATGTGTGGAAAGATGGAGGCAGAGCTCGCTGGGTTTTTCCAGCGGGGGGCAGGTAGCTGTGGGTGAAGCTGCGTATTAGAGCAAAGTCGACTTAATAGTTTGTATAGCCTGACTTTCCTTCCCTTGCACTGATTCCGTTGCTGGTCAGATCCCTTGCTGAGCTGACTGAGGTTGCTAGCACAGCAAAACCCGTCTCAGGCTGCTCTCATGGTGCTCCTGAGCTAAATCAGTGTGTGGAGAAGGTCAGTAAGTCCCAGAGCTGGAGTGAGGTGAGCCGTGGGAGCGCATATCCAGGATGCAGAGGAAGGGAAAGTGGGGAGACCCCCTGCACGTGGCAGCAAACTATTAGATCAGATTAAGCTATCGCATGTAACTTCACCTTCTGTTTTGTGTGGCTCAGGGCTATGCCCACGTCCTGTCGTTCAGCCTGCTTATTGCCGGACTGCCACATCATAGAATGAGGTGTACGCTTACCCAGTTTGACAGTGCCCTGCAAATGTGCCCCTGGGCCACATACCGTGACTCCGGTCTCTGGAACAGTGATAATAAAGGTGCTGCTGTCTGGTTTTTTTTTTCCCTTTTGTGTCTGACAGATTGACCAAAAACAGTTTGATAAAATCCTGGAGCTGATAGAAAGTGGGAAGAAAGAAGGGGCTAAGCTGGAGTGTGGGGGTCTTGCCATTGAAGACAGAGGCCTGTTTATAAAACCCACTGTGTTTTCGGAGGTCACTGACAACATGCGTATCGCCAAAGAAGAGGTACAGTACAAGTCACCTGAACCTTTATATGCATTTACTACTGCAAACGGGAAAGTAAAGAGGTATAGTTGTGGTTTGAAGTGAAAACCTGAGTGGAGAATAGAAGTTTCACTTATTTCAGTGTCCTAACAACTGCCTAATGCTGAAATCCATTCTACTAATGAGGTATCTGCAAAGTGAGCTTCAATTTGGAGGGCGGGGGGAGGAATTGTGAGAGGAGAGGGGAGAGCAGAACAGGCAAAAAAACTGTCAAAATGTTTTAGCAGCAAATTTTGTGCAATTAATAGGTGTCTGTTTGCCAGCCCTTTCTAATGTCTTGCTGCTTTCCCCCATTTTATTTGGTTTTCCAAAAGGGAAGTAGCCCTGTGAGTGTACTCACTGGAAAACAACAAACCCAGATAAAAGCATAGTAGATAATGCTGCACTAAAGCTTTTGGGTCTCGTTTAATGAGAACTTGACATAATGCAAAATAGAAGCATGTGCCTTACCGAGATACAGCTGCTATAAATGCTGCTTCTGAATAAGAAATAGTGGTGATGGAGGGGTTTCTGTCTGAATCCTTGATTTTAAATATAAATAACTGAACACAAATTACTGAAACTGTGGCAGGCTGGAGCAATTCCATGTATTGTTTGCCCTGAAGCGTGAAGGTTTTTTGAAGACAGAGTTAAGCTTTCCCACTCTACGCAGATGGATGGTTGTGCGTGCCGTGTGCTCTTACACACCTCCTACTGAATGGACTTGAAATTGCTCAGCTGTGGTACATGCTGATTCAAAGTGACAGAGGACAGTGTAATGTGTGTTCTTGTTCCACTACTTTGTAAAAAAGGAGTCGCTTTCTTGCAGAAAGCTGGAACAAGAACTCTGGGACCTGAGGCTGGTGAGGAGGGAAGGAATGGCCCTGCTATACTGCCACTGAAGAACTTTTCTCAAGTAGCCGTAGCATCTGAAATAATCCCAGATTCTCATGGTGAAAACCCGAGGCTGACCATTTTTTTCGTATATGAAAACATGGTTGAAACAGCAAAGTGCAGATCTAATACTCTGGCTTTCATTATTCATATGCAGAACAATTGAACAAGCTGCATGTGATTAGATCCTGTGATATTCCTTTGGAATAGAAGTTAATCTACTTTTCATTGTGTTCTCCAATGGAAAATAAGTAGTTGCCAAAGTCTTAACTGGCACTTGTATTTTATAGTTTAACCTAGTGCTTTTTATGGGGCTGCTTACTGTTCACTCCTGGCAAAATGTTTTGATGTCTCAGATTTGCCACAGAATCTCTAAGGAACCTGGGAAAGATATCAGTCAGCCTGGGCATGAGTTACATTCTAAAAATAGAGGTAATAAGAGCTGAAAATCCCATGACAGGCCTTTTTTTCATGAACTGACTCCAAATCCCAAGTCACGATTCATGAAGCTTACCCAGTTTCATTCATCTGCAGTTCCGTTGCAAATGCACATTCATCCTTTGCCTGGGATTAAGGCTCCAGTTAAGCACTTGGCTCTCCCAAACCAAAGAAATTTAGAAACACTTGTATGAGCCTAAAGGCCAGGCAAACTGTTGAGCCTGGCCCTCAAGGTGGCACAAGTGAGATTGTATCTCACCTTCCGTGGGGGTTTATTGTACTTGCAAGACCATGCAGGCCAGAAAAGGGCCCCACCTTTGATACCATACTCGACGAGAGACTCCATCCCAGAAGCTAAGAAATATTGTGTATGCCGGCTGCCTTTATACTGGCAACCTGGGAAGCCAAGTTCGTGGTCAAACACGTACGTGGTAAATGCACTGCATGCAAATAAACTGCGTACAATGACAAAATCAGAGTTAAAACCAAGGAAGAAAACTTGCAATCCTTGAAATATATTAATTACTTCTTGAGTGTACTCAAGTTCTGAGTTCAAAGGAGAGTCGTAAATGGAGGAAGAATGAATCATTTGAAACTTGTCCAGATCTAACTCTGCTTATTTTGATTGTCATAGACCCATTAGTTGTTGTATCTTAGCATACATTAACGACTATAGCACACCACTGTACTTCCTTTGAAGTCAGTTTAATTAGTAGTTTTTGAAAGACCCTATCTGTGACTTCTAGAAGGCTAGGATATAACGTTTTAAATATAGTATCCAAACAAAGCATCTGATTCTGATTGCTTCAAAATTACCGTGATTAGCCAAGGCTGTCCTGTACTAACATTGAGTTGATATGTGCAGATTTTTGGGCCAGTTCAGCCAATTATGAAGTTCAAGAGTATAGAAGAGGTCATAAGAAGAGCTAACAGTACCGAGTATGGACTTACGGCTGCAGTGTTCACAAAGAATCTGGACAGAGCATTAACACTAGCTTCTGCATTGCAATCGGGAACTGTCTGGTAAGCAGGGGGGGACCTGAGCATGGGCTGGGATTTTGTTTCATGGGAAGAGAGAGGGATGTATGATTTGGAATCACAGTGTAAGTGCTGGAGGTAAGATGTATTAGTAGTCTGCTTAATTCTTGATATCCTGCACAGAAGCAACATCCATTCATCAAAATAGGGTGGTGAGGATCAGACAGTCTGGCAAGAAATGGCCTGCTTGTTTGTTCAGTCGATGTAGTTATTTTTGTCTGGAAAACTCTGAAAATGTAGGGGTTGTAGCAAGTTCCACCAGACATGACGCCTTTCAAAATCCTGTATGTAGAAAAAAGCAATTCTCATGATCTTTAGGTAGCATCAGATGGGGTCTTAGATGCACAGATCAGTATGGACAGTAGATGGCAACACACCACTGTCAGAAAGAGAAGTAGCTTTTTTTGCTTACAAAATGTCTTATTTTATATCAGAATAATTTTAAAGATGGAATCCTGATTTTTTTTCCCAATGAAGATAGGAATTTGATCTGATGTCTGATTTTGATGCATACAGAGGATTGATTTCAAGAGTTGGTGCCAGAAGAATCTGCCTCTGAGTAATATTTATATAAAAATGGGATGTTGGGCTTTGAAGGATACATGTGCTGTACGTAGCTGAAGGGGCAGTCCTTCAGCACCAAGCCATACCTGTCCCTCTTCAGGTATTTGATCTTACTGAGATGCTGAGGAACTATCTGCGTTAGCTTTTCCTACCTAGTGGGTATGGAAATAGGGCTAACGCTTCAGTTTTACTCTGACACAATTGCCTAATATGGTCCAACTTTTTTCTATACCTGGAAGTGGATGGTGGGGCCTGCTTGTGAGTATTTAGACAGCCTTCTGAGTAAACATGTTCATTTCAGAATGTGCTTTATTAAACTAGGGAATAAGTTGAACTATTTATTTTAAGCACGGCTCTGAACACAGCATAAATTCCAGCTCAAGCATGAATGTCTTAGACAATAGAGACTATGAATTGAGATGTGGGTCGGACTGAGTACCACTCAAATGTTTTCTGTTTCTGTAGCAAAGTAAGATTTTATTGCTAACTTCTGATTCTCAAATGAATGAACTGTATAAAGAGAAAACTGAGAGATTTCAGCCTTTTTTGTATTGTTGTTGTCATCATCTTGCTTCTCTTTCCTATTGAATTGTCTTTTTACAACTGATGTTTTTATTGTAGGATCAACTGTTACAATGCGCTCTATGCACAGGCTCCTTTTGGTGGCTTTAAAATGTCAGGCAATGGCAGAGAACTGTAAGTTTCACTCAGTATTTTGTTTATATGTGGATGGTGAATGCAGTAACAGTTGGGACTCTATGGAAATATTGTTGAATTTGCTTTTGAACGGTCAGGCTTGCAGTATGCTGCACAGGGCAGTGCTAAGCCAGTACAGCGTGCGTGTAAAGCACAGATGTGAGAGCATGAGCAGTGCCTTCAGGAGAACCTTCATCTGGTTTATAAGCTCTTTATAACTCCAGTTCAGTCAATTCCACTTGCAAGCATTTTTCCTTGAGAGTTAGATTTTTAGATGAAAGGAGAAGTATGGCACCTTGGCTGGGGGCACTGGTATCCACCCCAAACCTCCTCTATCTTTATATGGTGGTATCTGGGCCTCCCTTGACTGCTGTATCATTGCTCCTAGTTGGACCTCTTCCCACCTCTGACTTTATAATGTTGGAGCTAGAACAATGAGGAATGATCTCCAAGATGATTCTACCTCTACCTTCCAAGCTTGCTACTAAATTGCAGAAGGACCCTCTGTCTGACCTGTTGCAGCATGGCTACCAGACATTCCAGCTCTACTAACGCAGCAATTTTTAAACTGAGGTCACCCTATAAGTTAGAGCTGAGAAGTTGACTTAAATCTTAATTTTCTCTGTGTATAGGAGAGAGGTGGGGTTTATTACACCAGTCAGAAGACTCTTCAGAGGAATCTAATGCACCTTTTCCTTCATAAGCCAGATTTATTTCCAGGAACCATTTCCAGTAGCTGTTATGGTGCATCTGCTGCTCTGAGACATTCAGGTGCCTCACTTGCTAAGCACAGCAAATGAATGAATCCTCCAATGGGATACATATATTGAGACCTTATGGTTTATTTTGCCTGACTGCCTAGCTAATTAAAGGATGTCAGGGGTTTATCCCTTGGGCAAGGCATGGGAATAGAGCCAGTTTCCACCAACTAAGACATAATGCAGTGGTGGGGCCTGTCATCAGTATGCGTTTCTGGAGCAGCTGTGCCCTCTTGATGATATGGTATCTTGTAGATAGAAGCTTACTTTCATTGAAAAAGTATCGTCAGTTACTGTCTAAGCACTGATAACTATGTTTACGTGGATGTTTCTTCTATGGGTTCTCACAACAGTACTCAGTTTCTACTCGGCAGAGGTGTCATCTTGTGGGTTACTGCGACCAGCAGCATTCGATGTTTCTTTTACAACAGGGCGTAGTTGTGTCTACTTACGTGCATGTACTTAGCCATTATTAGAAGTGGTGGGCCAAACTGATGGCTAGCGTAAGCTAGTTCAGATCTGGTTTTAATGGCCTGATGTCGTCTACAGCAGCTGTCCATCAGTGGCTAAAATGCAGTTGTGTAGAGATTTCTTATCTTAGGGAAGTAGACATTAACATGCTACAATTGTTTGTCCCTTTCCCTCCTCTCTCTTCTTTTCTAGCGGTGAATATGCTTTGGCAGAATACACTGAAGTGAAAACAGTCACCATTAAACTCTCCCAGAAGAGCCCATGAAAACAGGCGGCCTAAAATGCTGACACTCTGAATGTGACACGTGGGGGACGTGTTCAGAGCAAGGGGAGGGGAGGGGTAGGAAGGAAAATGGAAACACCTAACTTTATTCCTCTAGAAACACTGAATCTACTGGACTCCATTTTGTCAACTGGCTCTTCGAAAACTGATTTAACTGACCCTACTGGCAGCATAGCACACACTTGTACTGTACAAGTCCCTGGCTGTACATTTGTCTGCTACCTGTGACTAAAATGCTGGTCAGTCACAGTGTTTGCGGGACATCTGCTTTCAAACTGTACCCCTGAAGGACGTGGACGTCGATGGCTATTTAGAAAGACTTCTGGTACCATTAGCATGGACTGCATATGGGTTTCACTTGGCATAAATGGACTTGAGTGGTAGGGCTAATACAACCTGACTGAAGTTGGTGGAGTTTGTGTCAAGACTGCAGCTGGAGTTTGGGATGGGAGTGCAAGCTTTCATGGAAGAATCTGTAAAGAAATTCTCTTTGAAAGGGCTATCTTGGTCTCTCTAAAGATACATGCATTCTCCATACTGGTGATATTCTAGCCCTGAATGAGATTTATGGGAGTTTCCTAGAGGACTCCTTTGGGGCCAGTATTTCACCCAGCAGAGCTAGACTTTAAAGTGTCCTTTGAAACTGATGTTTTGGTGTGCACACGTCACACATGCTGCAAATGCAAGTTACTTGACTTGCTAACCCTTCTGGCTCTGAATGAGTCACAATTGTATCTCAAACCTTCACTATAGCACTTTTTGCAAGAGGATTTTGCACTGTACTTACCGTGATGACACAGAGTTGAATGCTAAGCACGTAGCGTGGTAGATAACCCACAGAAAACATCCCACGCCAGTCCTTCTGTTCTGGGGGAGGGAGCAGAAGAGCTGCAAGAAGCTGTCCTGCTCTCTCTTTCTCTGTAACTTTCAGGCTGTGTGAACATCTCTTCATTTTTTGAGCCAGAGATCTATTATTGTGAGAGTAAAACTTACAGGCTCTTCTCACTGCTTCTTTATCTCCTATGAATGTAGCTTAAAATAAATTTCTGGAAGTACAGTATGAAAAGGCAGGTGCTCCCAAGCACACACTGACTGCTAAAGATGTGGGTGTACAAACCAGTTACCATGGAATAATCTACAGCCAGACTTTGCAGTTAATTGTCCTCGTGAGTGCTGTCATCTTGTGGCAAGCACAGAGTAGCTGATCCTTCACGGAGGAACGAACTGCCTTGAACTGTCTCTTGCTTACAGTTTTATAAGCATGCACGTACGTGAGTAGCGTCCATGGAGTGGCTGTCATACCAAGTTCATGCTTCAGTATCCCCTGCAGAAACTTTTTGCATGCCCAGACATTACTATGAGAGTAATGACAAGCCACATGCTGCCTTCAGTTCCTGGGTTCACTACTTTCCCTCCTCCTCCTCCCGATTCTGTACTGGAGAACCACTGGCAAACGTATGGGAAGTTCCATGTCTGCAGGAGCTGTAAGTATGCAGGAGCTAGTGGTGTCAGCTGGTTAGGAAGTTTAGCTGATCTCGCTGGGATTGTCCTCTGAGAGCAAACCAATAGAGGTTCCTTATGGCGTATCAACAGACCTCCATGGAGCACTGGTAAAGATTGCTGCCTGGAGTTTTCCAGGGCTGGAAGCAGAAATGCAGATCTAACCTCTATTTTCTGAGGCAAGCAAGGATTTAACCGGTACCTTCCTTTGCTCAGAGATATGCCCAGTTAGTAATGAGTTCTGTTGAATCAGTAGATTCCTTTTCTGGAGGGGGAAGGAAGGTGGGTAGCAATAAGCAAGGAGAAAGTTTGCATGAGCCTAAACTTCCTTATTAGTTAGTGAACGTTGAAATTGCACTTCAACACTGCTTAACTTCATAAATGACATACCTCCACCAGTTGTGTATAACCAGGCACCTGTCCTCCCATGGGTATGTGAGACAGGGAAATCTCCCCATCCAGTGAAGAAAATGTCCTCCCTTCCCCATGAAAGGCCAAATGGGAACATTGTAAATAAGTTTCAATTTTTATAAAACACTTAGAGTGCAAACATCTTCTCAGACAAACATTTTACTTTTGCCTACGTGATGGTTTTCTAGGGCTGCAGACAGTAGGGAAGTAAGGCAAACAGTAAAAGGCTGGTTATCTTGATGTATCTCTGTATTAATTTTTGATAAACAGTGGTTGAAACTGAAATCATCTGAAATTCTTAAAATCCTAGTACTCTGGCTTTACATGTATGATATATATTTCACCTCTTTTTTTTTTCTCCATATCAAGTTTTTAAAAAGTCAACGTATCTCTTACTGTATAAATCAGGGTTTGACTCTACACACTGAATTTTCTAAGTTATATAATACTAGACACTAACTTTAAAATAACCCCTTAGAGGGTATATATTCTTTCATTGCACAGTAAGGCTTTCATATGAAATACTACTTTTTTTTTTTAAAAAAAAGAACTATATTTATAAATTAGGAGACAGTTAATCTAATGTATTTTTATAGCTAAAGGTACATGAAAATGCTATGTTTAAACCTCATGTATATATTTAGACTATGGATATCTTTTTGTAATAGTTCTTGTTCCTAATAAATGTTTAACTGTGAAATGGTTTCTCAATGCTACATACTGCTATTGCTCAGAAAGGAAGGTGGGGGAGCAGGAATTTCAACAGAGTAACTTGAATGCTTTTTTTTATTTACACTGATTAGTGCTTTAAGATAATTCCAGCCCCTCTAACGCACGTGTTAAGATCCCTTCCATCAGCAGGCAGCTTCCACTCAACTCAATCCTCCTGTCACTTTTTTATTTCACCCTGAATTTGGCCCGTTGTGTCAATAAAGGGAAACTGGAAAGGGTTACAGTTTCATGCTTCTAAAACAAAATGGCCCTGTATCGCTCTAGTTACAGGGGGCTCCCCCTAGAACAGCCTTGTGTCTGTTCCCCTTGATACAGTGGCCCAGCGGTAGCCCCCGAGTGGAAACATGGACTGGGCCCACAGGAGGCAGCATCATTTCGAGGTGCCTTTTCCACGCGGCAGAACTGAACGCAGAGTGCGTGTTTGGATGTGAGTATCCAGGAATTCGGGATCTGACAGGGGGTGCTGTGAAGGGATCTGAACTTGGATCCGCTTCTGCGATTTGTGAAGAATAGCCTATTTTAAAAAAGTAAAGTGCTGAAGTTTGGTCAATGCTCTACACATAAAAGCTGGCGCGTGTGTCTTGGCTTACCCTTTAAGCAGCCACTTTTATAAAGTTGTGGCAGTTACAGTAAGCGGAGGGGGAAGGAGAGCAGAGCTGCAGCTGGCGGGGGCAGGCATAGCTTCCTCCAGTTCAAAGGCAGATGGATCCTCTTTGCCTTCTGAGGTGAGCCTCAAAATGGAGAATTCGAAGGGACCACAGACCGCGCTGCCAGACGGGGCTTCCTGCCTTGCTCCGGCTGCTTCCCAAACCCCATTGGGACACATCCATCGCAGGTGTGCCTCTGCTAAATGTGTCCCCACTCCTGTCTTAGTTCCCTCATCTGCAATGTAGATAAGAGAGCAAGAACATACCGATGCCATTGCCTTTTAACTCCCTTCCCATCCGATACACCTCTGTGAGAAATACCTGTCATCTCCCCGCACAGGCCAAGCCAAACTCCTTGAATTTTCCACTTGCTAACAGCACCGCTCAGAAGCTTTGAGCCTTTAGAAGGAGGGAGGCTGGAGATACAAAGGAATTGCTGTGAGTGACATAATCAGTGGAGACATAAGCCAGGAAGGGTAGGATGAGATCCGGGGGAAAAAAGAAAAGAAAAAAAAAAAAAAGTAGCTTGAATGCATGGAGAAATTCTTGCTACAGGAAGTCTCTATCAAAATAAAGTCAAAAATTATTTTAGTGGTTTTTCAAACAATTGTGCTAAAAAAAAAATGTAAGAAAGGTCTGGGTAAGAGCCAGGTTGTGAGGCATAAAAGACAGCAGGCCGGGTAGGAAGTGGAAAGGGTGCTAAAAACAAGTAACCCCGCTATGGCTGTAGCTAAAAGCTTCACAAGGAGCTGAACACAGGTAAAAGCACCAGTGAAGACCCATCCTCCCTACGGCTCCTACACGATCGCATCAAAGAAACCCCCTAAGCAAACCTCAGGCTGCAGCAGCCGTTCAGGGAAGGGATATGGCTTTTTCCATCCTCAAGCAATCATCAGAGACCCATTTCTTGGCACGGACCAGGGAAGAAAAAAATCCCTCTGTATGTAATTTACAGAATCATTATGAATAACAAAGCAAAAAGGCACACAGGAAGGGTCTTTTGTTCGGAGGTTCAATGGGTGGGGAAAATAAAGCAGCATCAGGCTCGACGGAGGTTCCTGACCGGGTTTGTGATGGGGAAGAGGTGCACAGCACCAGCACGCCAGCTGGAGCGCGGCGAGCCCAGCACCTTCGGAAGAAAGGGGGCAATCTCGCTTTGCTTTTCCAAAGAGGAGCGAACTCACACCGCTCTCTGGGGAAGGAGCAACTTTCAAAGAAAGAAATCTCGTATCGGCTTCTGTTACCGGTAAGGCCAGGCCTCTGCCGAGAAGCGATGCCGAGAGGAGAGGGGCAGCGGTGCCAGGTCCGTGGGTGCCCATGCCTGGGGAGCTACACGGTGATAAGGGCAAGGCCACCCAGAGCACCCGCTCAGCTGAGAGAGAGGGTCCTGCTTCAACGCCCGCGGGTCTGCTTTTTCCTTAAAAAAACCAAACCAAACCAAAAAGCAAAACCCGAAGCCAAAGCGCTGAAGCCCGCATAGGGACTGCCCGGGGAGAGGGCGGACTCCAGGCGCTGATGGATGAGTGCGCCCGGCTGGGGCAGGAGCCCGGGCTCGGGGCAGGATGGGCTCCGCGCCCCGGGCACGG